AAGAGCGTCATCTGTGGAGGTAGCTGAGCATCAATAAACCTGCAAATCCACTGATGGGTTAGTCTCTTCAGAGCAGATTAGTACTTCAAACTGAACATTTTTGCTGTCATTTCTCATTTGGGCTGTAATCTGATAGATCATGACTTCAGTCAGGAAGCTACTTTGAATAAAATCTTTTAGTTTCTGTTCTATCCAACTCCATCTCTTTCATGTACAGTGAAAATTTTTGGCCTTTCAGTGTAAGGTTTCCATATGATAATGAAAAGCATATACTTTCAAAGATATATCGTCTCCAGGTTATTTTAGCCAATAAATAAGTTAAATGATCATCAATAGAAGGAATAGGGTGACTATTTAGTATGTATGAGTGCCTTCTTTGCTCCCTTCATTTGGATTCTAAATGTGTGGGATCCTGTAATGAGCTCAGGGGTGTGTGGAGTGTGTGTGGGTATACATTCATGTCTGCACAGGAACAAGCACATACTATCACTGCCTACAGATGGCACCACATAGCTCACCTGTGAATCAGAAGTTCAGGTATTAATCATGGATGGGATTTCGTCAGTAGTCACGCTGCAATGCCTTTTGTATTTTGGGACTAAAATATTTTCATTCACTCCATGCTACCATGCATTTCCAAAAGAACATTGGCCTATATCATGGTAAAAACCTTGAAGACTTGGAAGGCCATGATTTTATTCTCTGAGAAACCTGATAGTGGGTGATTCAGCATATCCATCTTGTGATGCCGCCTACCTTTAAAGAGGAGAGGGGCTGGGTGGATACAGGACTTATGTAAGCAGATGATGTATAACATGAATAGTCTGTCATTTAGAAGTAGTTGATAGAGATGTAACAAGATCCAGTGTCTCAAAGTTCAAGTCGGACAACCTCAGAAAAAGTAATGGTGGTTATTTTTAATGATGAAGTGTAAACTTGCCAGAATGCTTCAACGTCTCTAACACTAGATGCTTTAGTTCAGCTACAAGTTACTGGATCTGATGCAGATAAAATTGTCTGGTCTGCATAGCAAAGATAATCAAGCTAGGTGGTAACAATCATTCCCTTTTGAATTTAAAGTCTATGACTCCATGTACTGTGTGATCACGTAGTGGAACAGACTTCTTAGGTCACTGAGTTGAACCTACTGCTGTGAGGAGGAAACCATGCCACAGAATTCCTTTCATAATCTGATCCAATTTTTGTTTAAAAACAGGTGGAAAAATACCTAAATATTATTGGCTGTTGCCTTGACTCTGTGATTGTGCTGCACAAGGGTTCAGACACAGAGACTGTTGTTTTGGTTTTTTCCTCTGATGGATGAAAATAAATGTGATATGTGAAGTAGAAGTATGCATGTGTTTGAACTGAAGGAGGAAGGGGAAGGCCAAACAAGAAAAATGGCAAAATAAGAATAGTTTGTGTGGACCAAACTCTGACAATTTCCTTACAGGATGTTTTTGAGAGATCCGGTGTAGTCCAGCCAATATTGACCATGTCCTTTTTCTTTTTTCTTTTTTGATTTTCTTTCTTCCAGGGATTCTAGAGTGGCCATTTTGGACTAAGCTGGTGGTTGTGGCTATTGGTTTCACTGGAGGACTTCTTTTCATGTATGTACAATGCAAAGTGTACGTACAGCTATGGAAGAGACTTAAAGCTTATAACCGAGTAATATATGTACAAAACTGCCCAGAAACTAGCAAAAAGAATATTTTTGAAAAACCTGCACTAATGGAGCCAAACTTTGAAAGTAAAGAAATGCTTGGAGTTCACCATTCAGATACAAACTCTTCACATTACACAGAGCCAGAAGACTGTGCTGCAGAAATCCTTCACGTCTGATTGCTGGGTGGGAGGGGTGTTTCTGTATGTTCTTGAAGATTTAAAATATCATTGTTTACTGCAAACTGCTCTACCTTTTTAAAATCAGCTAACAGCTGAGGGCTGGTGGATGAGGTTTTTTTACATTTGTTTTTTGTTGGAATATTTTTAAATCCCTTTGGCATATCTGTCAATGTGATCATGGTTGCATACCTCTCAACATTTTGTCTCTCATACTGTCTGATCAGAGCCAGAGGATACTGGGTAGAATGAGCATTGGGTTGGTATCAAGCAAGCAACTACTAAGGTGTCTTCAACTTCATGGAGTCTGTTACTTTAGAAGATGACTCTAAATGATTCTGGAATATGTGTAGAGTGGGGTTTGTTTGTTATTCTTTAAGCATGATGAAGGAGGTTGTCCCAGACATTGAGGGAAATGAGAGAGCTAGAGTCTAATCTACTGCTAACACTGCCACTAACATTTTGTCTTAGGCAGCAGGTGTAAAATTTTGCTTTACATATTGTGATGAGACTTACAAAGCATATAGCACTTTTAAAAATCTTTATTTTGTAATATGTATGTCAAATGAGAATGAAACTTGAAAGAATGTGTCATTTTTTGAAACATTTCTTCATTCTTTACCCCATCTATTCTTCTGGAAAGTAAACCTCTTGCCTTATACGAAAAAAAAAAGAAGAGAAATTAAAAAAAATTCCAACCTGTAATTTCCAACACATGCCCACATTATCTTACTAAACATAACACTAAAAAACTCTGCCTCTTTGGGTTTCCTTTGAGGAACAATTTTTTTCAAAGGATATTGCACTTGTGACTTGTGTATAGGGAGTAGTGGATGTGTACAGCATTTGTTTTTAATGCGTAATGGTTTCAGTGCTCTGTTTTGGGGGTTGGTTTTGCTTTTTGTTTTTTCAACAAGTCAGATCATTAACACACCTGCACATACATACCTGATGTAACTTTCATTCCAAACCATTGGCAAAGGGTTTGTTGCTACATTGGTAAAAATGTGAGCTGTCATAGAAAAAAAAAGATACTTAGTCAATACAGCTGAGATTGGTTTTCCTTCTTTAGTGCTGTGTCATGTGTGAATTACCTAAGAATTTGATGTTGTCAGAGGAGATGCTGAGATCAAAGTCTGGGAAGTAAATATTGCATTAAGTGGATGAGTTTAAAAATACCTGCCTGGTTTTAGTCCTGATGTAATGCAATACATGGTCAGAGAATAGTTCTGTCTGTGCTTTTGAATTTGAGACTGGCTTTTTAATCAGTCAGCCTTAATGGAAAGAGAGGGACAGCTTTAAAATCTGTTTGCAGGGCTTCAGACAGAGTTTCCCGAAGCCTGGGGTGTCTGCTTTTAATTTGCTTGACCAGTATGCTTCACTGAACCACTGTCCAGCCTCAAGTGCGCATTCAACCAAAGTCTCAGTGTGACTGGAGCAAAAACAAAGCCCCGTGAAAAGTCAGCACTCAAGGCCTCTGCATTT